ATCCTACTAAACATCCCAGAAAGCTACACGATCTCGATGTGGAAAAACAACTTACACACCCCTGCTAGCGGTTCGTGGGTATCAGTTGTAATCAATTTCGAAAATTGGTATCAGTTTGTTATAGAAGGTTCATGAGCTCAGTGAGGTTATATACACGATTGTAATAGCAATAGGGTTTATGCAATGAAATTGTTCCTTTTGCTTTATTTTTTTTATTTCCTGTTTGTTACTCTTTCAGTTCCATTTCCAGCTAGTTACACTAATTTTCGGTCAGCGCAAAGCAAAAAGCAGGCCACAATATGAAAAAATGTGAATGTAATAACTGATCAACTTTAAACTGAACTTTTTTGCCATCATTACCTGCTAATCAGATCTGAGACTCCTTCCTGTTGACATCCAGACTTACAGGTTCCAAAGAGTGTAATGACTGATTAATTTCATCTAGTTCCCATTCATTAAAACTCCTCCAGGATCTAAGCATTTGATATCAATTAAGTTGAAATATCCCATAACTTTAAATTAGTCCATCCACACTGGCCACGAGTAATGTTAATATAATTATTTTTTACCAGGATTAATATGTTAGAGAACTTGACAACTAATATCTCCAACTACTTGTATTGTTTCTGTTTTCCGATTATAAGTTGTTAGACATGAGATTGTAGTTGATGAATTGGAACTTACTGATTTCATTTTCTTGTAGAGATTAATGTGGGAGGAATAATATCTTCGGCTTTTTGCTGGATATACCAGACCACTATATACCATTGAAACTGCATCATTTGATTGGGAGAAGTCTTCTGAATTTTCTCTGCAATTTGAAAGAATGTCAAAAATTAGAGACAGAACAGAAGATTTTAAAGATGCTGCACGTCGTTCGGCATTGTCTTTGGGATATGATGAGGTACATTTAACTTATTCAGCTCATTGCTTTTCTCTTTTCTTGGTTCGAAAGAATTATGTCGTGCATATGTGAGGTACATTTAATTGTCTTGATGAATCTTCATGCTTATGTGATCCATACTATCCTTTGCCTCTGGTGTAGGCTCTGATCGTGCATATAGCTTTATAACTTCCTTACGTTTCAATTGTTATACTGTCCGCAGATCAGTGGCTCTGTTTTATAATAATTTGACAAAGAATTTGCTACTGTTCTCTTGTTTGCATGAGAGCTAGTATTCCATATAAATGAACTTCAACACTCTCTTTCCCGTTTTTCCTTTTTCTTTTTACCTCAATGGACAAAAAAGAATATATATTTTGCTGTGTATTATTTTTTAGCCTGTGGCATACTCCATCAGGTCTTAGCTTATATTTCATCTGAACTTAGATCTTTGCTGACAGTCCAAAACAGCTGTGTTATTGGCATCTTTTATCATGCATAAACCTCGGCAAAGGTCAGGATTCACTAGAGCTGCGCTTAAAACGGTATATTCTTTACACCTATTGCTTATCTTCTTTTCTTATATTGCTTGTGCTTTGAAAACTTTTTTCCAAAATTTTCCTTCGTCAGCTGGAGAGCATTGGAGCTCTAGAGCAATTTTTGATGAAACACAAAAAGGATTATGTTGATTTGCACCGTACAACAGAACAAGAGAGGGATAGCATTGAGCATGAAGTAAGATTACATACTTGATGTCTGTCTTTCCCTTCTTTTTTTGTTCTCTCTCTGTTATTCCAAAACATGACAGTTAGCTAAACTATCTTCTACTTGCTGCGATGTTGGATTTCTGAATATATTTATTCTTGTTTTGTGATGCTTCAGTATAAAATATATTTTTATGAGAACAAATGGGTGTTTCGGTTTGCAAATAGGATAAGACCATATCATAAGTTTGTCTCATTGCAGGCATTATGAGCTAGTGTCTTAAAGATGAAAATAATACAACAACAACATACCCCAGTATTATCCCACACCGTGGGTAGGTAGGGTAGTGTGTACGCAGACCTTATCCCAAAGATCAAAATAATAATGGAACTAATAATGTGATTATTACAATGGTATCTACCTCTTGATTTATAGGCTTAAGGGTGAGATTGGAGTTAGGATTACATGTTTGAGACAATTATTCAATTTGTCCGTTAATCGGCAGTGATTTGCTCCCTTTTAATTTAATAAAATATTCAATTCCAAACTAGTCTGAATAGCAACAGGAGTCTCTTATATCTGGTTTGCTGTATCGGGGCCCTTTTCACTCCAATACTTGTAAATAATGTGTCTGCTAAGGCAAATTAGGAGTTATCTAAAACTAATTTTTCTTTAACTCTCACACGTATCCCGACCCTGTCCAAATATAAGTCTTAGAACAACGAGCCTTAATCTTAATCAGTTGGTATCGCCAATATGGCTCATTTCCTTCCATTGTGTTATATTTTTACCACATGATTCTAGTCTACCACATACCTTTTAGAACTTTCAATTTACCATAGTATCGCTTCTATGAACTGGTGCTTTCGGAGGTTTATGAAGGCATGGTCAAATCATCTCGGATGACATTCTCTTATATTATCCTTCTATGTATGCTACTTGCATCTTGACGTGATAATTTATGATCTTGTCTAATTTTGTACGATGCACATTCATCTTAATTTACGCAATCTACGACAGTAATCTTGTGGACGTGTTAGCGTTTGAGGCTCAACAATTACTCCCATATAATATTGCTGGTCTCAGAATCATTCTATAGAATTAGCCTTTCACTTTATTAAGTATCATCTGTACATAAATCTCTTGTAGCATTCTTCTAGTTCGACCATCTATACGACTTTTATGTGGTACATGTTTATCTATCATGCCACTCTCTTGGAAAACTCAGTCTATATGTCTCAATTGTTTGCATTTGGGCACCGCACCGCTATCTCATCCAATCTCACTTCACATTCATTCTCCTTATAGGCGCTAATCTTGCAGTGCATAAAAATATTTAGAATTAAATCAATCAGTATAAAAGCCATAATCTTATGAAAAGAGACCATATTTAACCTAGTTTTGGGTACAAATGTAGTAAAAAGAGTAAATATAGCAAAATACCTCTCCAAAAAAAGACTTATTTTATCTTTCGTTTGAGTGGCAGGGAAGACTATGGGCAGTAGTGGAAGGGGAGAGGGTTCTAAACCTCAATTCCCAATTCATGGAATTAGAACTCCAAACTCCTCCTGGACCTTGAATAATTGTTGAGTAGCTTACCAGACTACTAAGTGCTTTAGGGTTGGCCCACATTTATGATGTGAAAAACCAATGAGTTGGTCGTGACACACGTTGAACATTTTTCTAAAGTTTGATCTTGTATGTAGTTACGAACTTATTAGTTTTCTTATATTGCTTAAACTTTTTGTAATACCCTATAAACAGTGTTAAGTTCAGCGCAGTCAATAATACAGAATCTTGGAAAATAACAAAGAGAATTGTAGGATGAAACCAATAGAAATTGAATTGGTGGTCATAGTACTTCTCATTCCAAGTTAGACCATAAACTATGACCTACAGAATTGACACTACTGCACTGAAGTTCGCTGTTCTTTGATTTCCTATCTTTCTTATATAGTCCACTTCTGATAAAAATTTACTCCCTGCAAGGTAAAATTTTGTCCGCTTTTCCTGCTTTGTCAAGTTTGATGTCTTGATTAACTTTTGAGTCTCGAGAAAGTGCTCCTTGTGCACCTTTGTGTCTAGTGCTCCTTCTGCAGCTTTGTGTTTATGCTCCTTCTGCAGCTTTGTGTTTGAATGCAAATGTACTTAGTCGAGATTATGAAGTTAGAATTGGAAAAAAAAATTAGAAGGATCTTTACTAACACAACTTCTGCAGGTTACTGTTTTTGTAAAATCATGCAAAGAGCAGATAGATGTTCTCAAGAATAGTATAAATGAGGAAGATGCACATTCAAAGGGATGGCTTGGATTCAAGGGTGACAATCTGAATGCTGATACTATAGCACACAAGCATGGAGTGGTACGGTCGCTACATACAATATAGTCATCAAATATCCTTATAACTGATTATAATTGCTTTATGAAGCATCTTCTCTCCGTTTTCCGCTGGTATTAGGAAATTATGAAGTGACTTCATAGATACTCTTTGAATTAAAGATACTATCGTATGGCCTGTGATGTTACAGGAATTTTTTAAATTGATTTCTTTGATGTGACGCTGTTAAAACTCTTGCATCTATGTGCTTATTTTAGATTATTCGAATTAAAGATTTATTTTCATTTTGCTATTAGGAAAGTTGACGTTTTTTGTGATTGTTCTGCAATTGACACAACAGTATTGTAGTTGCCATATCACAATACTTTCTCCCCCATTCTCGGTGTTTCGTACTTTCTGTGAATAGCCTGTTTAATGTTGAGAATTATTGAAATGAACTCAGATGTTGGGGGGAAATACTTCGGATGGTTGTCTTTGGTGTGATTCCACTGGGAGAGTATCCATCATCCTATCTTAAATTTGTGGATCTCTACTATCTGAGATTGTTCTCCACCAAATTTTCTTTGTGGAAAGTATGTGGTGGCTCTGTGATCTGCATAACAGTATCTCTGAGATAGTGTGATTAAACTCGCTAGATTGTGCTGATTATTAACTTACCTCTTGACACTGAAAATATACTTTTTCAACCTATGCTAAGTTTGTATTCAGTTGAAAACAGTTCTAAAGCTGTTTCTACTTTCTTTTACCCGTCTTCCAGTACCACTTGCTGCCCACTAAGAATGAAGGGCGAGATGCTTTCTTATAATAGAGTGCTAAGGAATTTGAAAGGAGTCTTGATGCATATTCCTATAATTTTTGTTTGCTTTTGTGCTGTAGGTTTTAATTTTAAGTGAAAAGCTTCACTCGGTCACGTCACAGTTTGACAAGTTGCGGGCAATACGCTTTCAAGATGCTATTAACCGAGTAACACCAAGAAGGAAACGGAAGAACTCTACTAAATCAAATGCTGCAGAGGCCTCTGTGTCTAGTAGTTTCGACCCCGACATGAAAAGGGACTCAGAGATCAGGGACTCTGATATATCACAAGCAGCACCTATTAGAGTCCAAGAACAACTTTTGGACAATGAAACACGTGCCCTCCAGGTAAGTAGGAAGTTTGCTGTTAGAGGATTTAGTTCCGGAAAACAAGCAACATGTGAAGGCTAAAATCACAATCTACTTTCCTGTACTCTTACCTACTATGATTACTCACATGATGCAGGTAGAGCTGAACAGTCTCCTGGATTATGTTCAAGAAACAGAAACAAAGATGGTGGAAATGTCTGCGTTGAACCATCTTATGTCAACTCATGTTTTGCAACAGGCCCAACAGATAGAGCTATTATATGAGCAGGTTAGCAATATTGTAGATATTTAGTTTCCAGTTGGATAGAACTTCTATCTTGTTAATATAACAAGTCAGTCATTTTCTCTCTTTTGTTTAAATAATTCTGACTATCTCTTCATTTTCTATATTAACTTTCCCATGTGACCATTTTCTTGTAGAACTAACAAACTTCACGATCTACGGTTCTTTCATTGTTCTATAAGTTTGTGTGAACTTATGGTTTTTCGTTTCAGGCAGTTGAAGCAACCAAGAATGTGGAACTTGGTAACAAAGAACTGTCACAAGCCATTCAACGGAACAGCAGTAGCAGAACTTTTCTTTTGCTCTTTCTGTTTGTGCTTACATTTTCAATCCTCTTCCTTGATTGGTATAGTTAACCATAAGATAGAAATTCTCTTTTTGCTCTTTCTATTTGTACTTACATTTCCAATCCTATTCTTAGATTGGCATACTTAATCAAAGGTTAAACTTTTCTTTTGATCTTTTCTATTTATGTTACATTTTCAATCCTCTTCCTAAAATTGCATAGTTATTGACAGGGTATAGAGCGTATATTGTCGTCTTTCGTACTTTTTGCTTAAAGACATTATGCTTTATATATGTACTGCCATTATTATTACTTTCTCATGCCAGCAATATTGAACTTTTGTCCCAAGGATCTCACCATAAACTGGATAATGGCCGATGTGATTACCAGCCAAATTTTAGCAGGAAATAGAGCAGGAAAAATGAAAATGGTAAAAAAAAAAAGGAAGAAGGAATTGTACAGGATAGTGGTATAGACCTGGGGCAACCCATGAACTAATATCATACTTTTTGTTTTTTTCTCAGGAAAGAAAATAAAAATATAAAAGAGAAAGGAAGGGGAAAATATGCATGGTAAAAAAGTGTTTGGCACGACTACTAAAACAATATGATTGCAAATATGCAAACTGAAAGACAAGTAGACTCCTCTAGTTGAGAAGGATAGTTGCTACTATTTTAAATGCTTAAAAAGGCAAACTCAATCTCGATTATTGGCTTGTTGGTGGAATACAATGA